TCTCTCTAGATTCATAATATCATAGGATGCATTCCCACACTGCTAAGTTCAGTGATGGAAGAAAGTCATCTGCTCCCTGTCTGTTACCCTGTAAGTTTCTCTCGCTCTCTCCAGATTCATAAGATCATAGGATGCATTCCCACACTGCTATGTTCAGTGAGGGAAGAGAGTCATCCGCTCCTCGTCTGTCACCCTGTAAGTTTCTCTCTCTCTCTCTAGATTCATAAGATCATAGGATGCATTCCCACACTGCTATGTTCAGTGATGGAAGAAAGTCATCCACTCCCTGTCTGTTACCCTGTAAGTTTCTCTCTCTCTCTCTAGATTCATAAGATCATAGGATGCATTCCCACACTGCTAAGTTCAGTGATGGAAGAGAGTCATCCACTCCCAGTCTATTACCCTGTAAGTTTCTCTCTCTCTCTCTAGATTCATAAGATCATAGGATGCATTCCCACATTGCTATGTTCAGTGATGGAAGAAATTCATCCGCTCCCTGTCTGTTACCCTGTAAGCTCTCTCTAGATTCATTACATCATAGGATGCATTCCCACACTGCTAAGTTCAGTGATGGAAGAAAGTCATCCACTCCCAGTCTATTACCCTGTAAGTTTCTCTCTCTCTCTCTAGATTCATAAGATCATAGGATGCATTCCCACATTGCTATGTTCAGTGATGGAAGAAAGTCATCCACTCTCTGTCTGTTACCCTGTAGGTTTCTCTCTCTCTCTCTAGATTCATAAGATCATAGGATGCATTCCCACACTGCTAAGTTCAGTGATGGAAGAAATTCATCCGCTCCCTGTTTGTTACCCTGTAAGTTTCTCTCTCTCTCTCTAGATTCATAAGATCATAGGATGCATTCCCACACTGCGAAGTTCAGTGATGGAAGAAATTCATCCGCTCCCTGTCTGTTACCCTGTAAGTTTCTCTCTCTCTCTCTCTAGATTCATAAGATCATAGGATGCATTCCCACACTGCTAAGTTCAGTGATGGAAGAAAGTCATCCACTCCCTGTCTGTTACCCTGTAAGTTTCTCTCTCTCTCTCTCTCTCTAGATTCATAAGATCATAGGATGCATTCCCACACTGCTAAGTTCAGTGATGGAAGAAATTCATCCGCTCCCTGTCTGTTACCCTGTAAGTTTCTCTCTCTCTCTAGATTCATAAGATCATAGGATGCATTCCCACACTGCTAAGTTCAGTGATGGAAGAAAGTCATCTGCTCCCTGTCTGTTACCCTGTAAGTTTCTCTCGCTCTCTCCAGATTCATAAGATCATAGGATGCATTCCCACACTGCTATGTTCAGTGAGGGAAGAGAGTCATCCGCTCCTCGTCTGTCACCCTGTAAGTTTCTCTCTCTCTCTCTAGATTCATAAGATCATAGGATGCATTCCCACACTGCGAAGTTCAGTGATGGAAGAAATTCATCCGCTCCCTGTCTGTTACCCTGTAAGTTTCTCTCTCTCTCTCTCTAGATTCATAAGATCATAGGATGCATTCCCACACTGCTAAGTTCAGTGATGGAAGAAAGTCATCCACTCCCTGTCTGTTACCCTGTAAGTTTCTCTCTCTCTCTCTCTCTCTAGATTCATAAGATCATAGGATGCATTCCCACACTGCTAAGTTCAGTGATGGAAGAAATTCATCCGCTCCCTGTCTGTTACCCTGTAAGTTTTCTCTCTCTCTCTAGATTCATAAGATCATAGGATGCATTCCCACACTGCTAAGTTCAGTGATGGAAGAAAGTCATCTGCTCCCTGTCTGTTACCCTGTAAGTTTCTCTCGCTCTCTCCAGATTCATAAGATCATAGGATGCATTCCCACACTGCTATGTTCAGTGAGGGAAGAGAGTCATCCGCTCCTCGTCTGTCACCCTGTAAGTTTCTCTCTCTCTCTCTAGATTCATAAGATCATAGGATGCATTCCCACACTGCTATGTTCAGTGATGGAAGAAAGTCATCCACTCCCTGTCTGTTACCCTGTAAGTTTCTCTCTCTCTCTCTAGATTCATAAGATCATAGGATGCATTCCCACACTGCTAAGTTCAGTGATGGAAGAGAGTCATCCGCTCCCTGTCTGTTACCCTGTAAGTTTCTCTCTCTTTCTCTAGATTCATAAGATCATAGGATTCATTCCCACACTGCTTTGTTTAGTGATGGAAGAAAATCATCCACTCCCTGTCTGTTACCCTGTAAGTTTCTCTCTCTTTCTCTAGATTCATAAGATCATAGGATGCATTCCCACACTGCTATGTTCAGTGATGGAAGAGAGTCATCTTCTACCTGTCTGTTACCCTGTAAGTTTCTCTCTCTCTCTCTCTAGATTCATAAGATCATAGGATGCATTCCCACACTGCTATGTTCAGTGATGGAAGAGAGTCATCTGCTCCCTGTCTGTTACCCTGTAAGTTTCTCTCTCTCTAGATTCATAAGATCATAGGATGCATTCCCACACTGCTATGTTCAGTGATGGAAGAAAGTCATCCACTCCCTGTCTGTTACCCTGTAAGTTTCTCTCTCTCTTTCTAGATTCATAAGATCATAGGATGCATTCCCACACTGCTAAGTTCAGTGATGGAAGAAATTCATCCGCTCCCTGTCTGTTACCCTGTAAGCTCTCTCTCTCTCTACACTGCAAAAACAGTGGTGTAAATTCAACACCATAGGTGTTAATATTAACACCATTCCGGTATCTATATCGGAAAACACCAGTTGGTGTTATTAACACCAAGGTCTGGATTTGAATGATTCAATTCTACTCTGGTGTTGCAATTCAATTCTATTTTGGTGTTAATATAAAATCCTACACCATTTTCTGGTGTAACAATGAATCTGATTTCTGGTGTTATTTAACACCACCGCCTGGAATGAAATAATTTTAATTCTACTCTTGGTGTTGCACTTCAATTCTATTGTTGGTGTTATTTTACACCAATTCTAGAATTAAATAGTATAATTCTGCTCTTGGTGTTGCCATCCAATTCTATTTATGGTGTTAATATAAATCCAGCACCATTCTTCGGTGTTGCAATAAATCATATTTTTGGTGTTATATAACACTAAAGGTCTACTACTTTTCTACTCTTGTATTGCAATTCAATGCTAGTCTCAGTGTTTAAAAAACTCAACACACCATTCTTTCAACACCAACAATTCATTCCAGCTCACTCCATCTTAACACATGCACAGAAAAATATTCAAATACACACAAGAAGTGAAAAGAAACAATTTTTTTTCGTAAAAAAAACAAAACATGGTGCTTGTTTAATCAATAAATTAACAACTTGTTTTCATTCATGTTGAAATCAATGATGCTTAGCGTTTTTATCTTGTATGGTTCAACATTAAATCCTTTTGTCATGTATTCAAAATCTGTGACTCATTTGTCTGAATACAACAAAACACACTTTTTTAAATCATTCAAAAATCTGTTATTATGAATCCCCCTTATAAGTAAAAAAAAAGGATGAAACAAGTAACTAAAAATCATTCAAAATCTGTTATTATGAATCCACCCTTATAAGTAAAAAAAAAAAAGGATGAAACAAGTAACTAAAAATTTTCCAATATAAAAACTTTAAACAATGTCATAATTCCTTTCAAGGAATGAAAAATCAAAGTCGTTTCTAATAAATAGAAACTAAACAGGATGCAAAATGCATGTATAAATGAAGACAAAACAAAAAAAAACAACAAACATTATGCTTCTACATCAGAGTGAATTATGTAGCTAATAAGAATTTGACACATTTCACCTTGAATCCTAGTACATGCATGCTGAAGGAAAATATCACAGAATCTTTTTCATATGAAATATACAGAGTGCCCCCCCCCCAAAAAAAAAACCTTGGAAACTGCTAGTATAATCTGCAGGCAGACTCTCGGCTTCGGTTTTTCGCAAGTTTCGTAGTGCATATTTCAGAGTCTGCAGTCAGAGACTACTTTCACTCATATCATGATCCCTTAAAGGGAGCATAACTGTATGTGTATATGTAGTCTCTAAATGCAGACTCTACATCGTGCACTATGCAAATTGCAAAACCGAAGCCAATGGTCTGTGCCCGCAGACTAATTATAGTATGACTTTAATTTCTTATGCTAGAACAATAGCAACACTAACAAATCTCATCCAGCAGTTTTGTTGAACAAGATTTTTTTACCACAGGCCTGCAACCATTGAGATTCAGGATGATTTAATTATTTCAGGGGATTTTTATCTCCTAGCTTCACTGCTTGTAAAGGGTTAAACAAATGTTTCAAAAACATTGAAAAAACACTATAAATTCTACATTCATTCTAATATAGGTGAACATTCTTTTACAGCTTTCTGTTTACAAACATATTCCATTTTACATCGTGCACTATGCAAATTGCAAAACCGAAGCCAATGGTCTGTGCTCGCAGACTAATTATAGTAAGGCTTTTTAATGTCTTATGCTAGAAGCAGCCTTCAAGAACAATAGCAAAACTAACAAATCTTATCCAGCAGTTTTGTTTAACAAGATTTTTTTTTACCACAGGCCTGCAACCATTGAGATTCAGGATGATTTAATTATTTCAGGGGATTTTTATCTCCTTCACTGCTTGTAAAGGGTTAAACAAATGTTTCAAAAACATTAAAAAAACACTATAAATTCCACATTCATTCTAATATAGGTGAACATTCTTTTACAGCTTTCTGTTTACAAACATGTATTTCCCATTTTACTCCTGGGAGAAAAAAATCAAAAAGTAAAATTATGCATTTCTATATCAACTAATTCGCTGCTCGTTTTTCCAACAGGATATAAACAACAACAACACAAAATCAGTCCATGCACTTCTAGTTCACTGGCTTTCATGCACAAACATCATAGAATTGTTTTTCTTGTAAGAAAAAAAAAGAAAATATACAACAGCTATTTGACTTCAATTTGTTTTCGAATTAACCAATTTAAAGATGTTAACAATTAAGAGTCCAAAATATTATTGATCAAAATTATTTTTAAAACCATTGATACCACTAAGCAAAACCAGACATTAGCTTGAAAGCTTTAAATTACTTAAAAAGTACATGCCTTGGTGCTACATACTTCCTCGAGTCTGTCTTCGACAAAGTTGTCATCAAATCTAGTGGTTTGTAGTCAACAAGTTCCTTTTGATTCTTCACTACATGACAACGTGGAAAACTAAATTCTACTGCATAGGCATGATAGTGTGAATTGTAATACACTGTATCTAATTGGACAAGTACAAAAAATACAGTGCTATGGTGTACAATGATATGCTCTATTTGACCAAACAGAGGAAGCTCGCTAACATCATGGCAGACCAGAAGTGACAACTGATAATGTGTTCCATGTACTTTAACCCAGTTGGCATCAAATAATTCAGTAGAAAGATCCTCTACTTGGATTTGCTCTTGCACAATCTGTCCAATATTTTCATCTAAATCTGACAAAAGTAGTGAACTACCTGGCCCAACCTCCAGATATTCCAAAGGATGGTTTGACTGAAGATGGAACGTTAGTGCTGTCTGATGTTTTTTGGCAAGTGATTTACAAATGTTTTTGTAATTACGCACAGATTCTGCAACACGGCCAAAATAGTGATGTTTCGCTTCGTACCTCATACACCATACATGTATGAGTGGCCCAACTTCTCTCAAACACGTTGGATAATGCACCATAAAGTGGTGTTTTGGCAACAACCTTCTGTCAGGAAAGGTTTTCTGGAAATGTGTGTGATGTTCTTCAGTAAGAATAGACAATTGGGCTATCAAGCCTGCTGTCAATTGAGGAGCAAAAATAATGTCCATACAATCTAGTAATCTAAGTAGCAATTCCCAGTAGACATTTCCTTCTTCAATGTCTTGAGCAATTATGAATGGCAGATTTCGAATCAAGCACCATGCTTGCATAGCCTTCTGTCCAACATCATTCCTAGCTGACCTAAGTTTAATAAAGGATGAAACAAGTTCTTGTTATCTGTACGGTTTAAGCAATGGCTGGCGACTCTCTGATTCAGTTCATCTTGGGACAAGAGGGGCGGTTGCCTTTCATATATAAAATACTCTAGAACAAGTTTCAGCTCCTACTGAACTATGCCTTCCAAAAGATCATGCATTATATCTAGTGAAAAGTTTGCCAAGACATGAAAGTAAATACAATCATTCAATACAGTCTTTTGTTTCACTCCAAACACATGTGACTGGTAGCTAATTTGAGCTTCAGCTTCTTCTAAATTGCTCATAAGTCTGCCTGGTGCGCATATCCATTGAAAACCTCTTTGAATTTGTTCTGTGCCTCTTCCTTACTTGTAACACATAATCGACAGTAATAATGAGCAGAAAAGCTCTCTACAAATCCCAGTAGGGAATTAGCACCAAGATTATCAGCACTTATTTGAGTAATGGTCCCCTTCTTCACAATTCCAAAGGGAGCATAACTGTATGTGTATATGTAGTCTCTAAATGCAGACTCTACATCGTGCACTATGCAAATTGCAAAACGAAGCCAATGGTCTGTGCCCGCAGACTAATTATAGTATGACTTTAATTCTTATGCTAGAACAATAGCAACACTAACAAATCTCATCCAGCAGTTTTGTTGAACAAGATTTTTTTACCACAGGCCTGCAACCATTGAGATTCAGGATGATTTAATTATTCAGGGGATTTTTATCTCCTAGCTTCACTGCTTGTAAAGGGTTAAACAAATGTTTCAAAAACATTGAAAAAACACTATAAATTCTACATTCATTCTAATATAGGTGAACATTCTTTTTACAGCTTTCTGTTTACAAACATATTCCATTTTACATCGTGCACTATGCAAATTGCAAAACCGAAGCCAATGGTCTGTGCTCGCAGACTAATTATAGTAGGCTTTTTAATGTCTTATGCTAGGAAGCAGCCTTCAAGAACAATAGCAAAACTAACAAATCTTATCCAGCAGTTTTGTTTACAAGAATTTTTTTACCACAGGCCTGCAACCATTGAGATTCAGGATGATTAATTATTTCAGGGGATTTTTATCTCCACTGCTTGTAAAGGGTTAAACAAATGTTTCAAAAACATTAAAAAAACACTATAAATCCACATTCATTCTAATATAGGTGAACATTCTTTTACAGCTTTCTGTTTACAAACATGTATTTCCCATTTTACTCCTGGGAGAAAAAATCAAAAAGTAAAATTATGCATTTCTATATCAACTAATTCGCTGCTCGTTTTTCCAACAGGATATAAACAACAACAACAAAAATCAGTCCATGCACTTCTAGTTCACTGGCTTTCATGCACAAACATCATAGAATTGTTTTTGTTGAAGAAAAAAAAAGAAAATATACAACAGCTATTTGACTTCAATTTGGTTCGAATTAACCAATTTAAAGATGTTAACAATTAAGAGTCCAAAATATTATTGATCAAAATATATTTTAAAACCAATTGATACCACTAAGCAAAACCAGACATTAGCTTGAAAGCTTTAAATTACTTAAAAAGTACATGCCTTGGTGCTACATACTTCCTCGAGTCTGTCTTCGACAAAGTTGTCATCAAATCTAGTGGTTTGTAGTCAACAAGTTCCTTTGATTCTTCACTACATGACAACGTGGAAAACTAAATTCTACTGCATAGGCATGATAGTGTGAATTGTAATACACTGTATCTAATTGGACAAGTACAAAAAATACAGTGCTATTGTGTACAATGATATGCTCTATTTGACCAAACAGAGGAAGCTCGCTAACATCATGGCAGACCAGAAGTGACAACTGATAATGTGTTCCATGTACTTTAACCCAGTTGGCATCAAATAATTCAGTAGAAAGATCCTCTACTTGGATTTGCTCTTGCACAATCTGTCCAATATTTTCATCTAAATCTGACAAAAGTAGTGAACTACCTGGCCCAACCTCCAGATATTCCAAAGGATGGTTTGACTGAAGATGGAACGTTAGTGCTGTCTGATGTTTTTTGGCAAGTGATTTACAAATGTTTTTGTAATTACGCACAGATTCTGCAACACGGCCAAAATAGTGATGTTTCGCTTCGTACCTCATACACCATACATGTATGAGTGGCCCAACTTCTCTCAAACACGTTGGATAATGCACCATAAAGTGGTGTTTTGGCAACAACCTTCTGTCAGGAAAGGTTTTCTGGAAATGTGTGTGATGTTCTTCAGTAAGAATAGACAATTGGGCTATCAAGCCTGCTGTCAATTGAGGAGCAAAAATAATGTCCATACAATCTAGTAATCTAAGTAGCAATTCCCAGTAGACATTTCCTTCTTCAATGTCTTGAGCAATTATGAATGGCAGATTTCGAATCAAGCACCATGCTTGCATAGCCTTCTGTCCAACATCATTCCTAGCTGACCTAAGTTTAATAAAGGATGGTTTGTTCTTGTTATCTGTACGGTTTAAGCAATGGCTGGCGACTCTCTGATTCAGTTCATCTTGGGACAAGAGGGGCGGTTGCCTTTCATATATGAAATACTCTAGAACAAGTTTCAGCTCATACTGAACTATGCCTTCCAAAAGATCATGCATTATATCTAGTGAAAAGTTTGCCAAGACATGAAAGTAAATACAATCATTCAATACAGTCTTTTGTTTCACTCCAAACACATGTGACTGGGTAGTTTGAGCTTCAGCTTCTTCTAAATGTTGCTCATAAGTCTGCCTGGTGCGCATATCCATTGAAACCTCTTTGAATTTGTTCTGTGCCTCTTCCTTACTTGTAACACATAATCGACAGTAATAATGAGCAGAAAAGCTCTCTACAAATCCCAGTAGGGAATTAGCACCAAGATTATCAGCACTTATTTGAGTAAGGTCCCCTTCTTCACAATTCCATTAGGGAGAGCAATGCCAACTGTTGACAGGATATTAATGTCTTTTACAATGTGCTTGAGAATAGCATTAAATCCATATTTCTTGGCATCTTCAGCATACCATAGAGCTATAAGATTGATATTGGAAAGATTGGAATTATACTTTGGTGGCAGATTTTTCAAAATGAAATATAAAGCACCTATCTTGTGAATTTTTGTTTTTGAACCAATGGGGTTCACAGTCTCGAAATCATCATAAAAACAGTGAATTTGGAGGGCATTCTCATCTTCATGGAAAAGAGGGGTTTTCTCAAATTGTGAACCATCACAATAATCTCTCATTACACCATCTGTGCTCTTATGGTCATGAGTAGCAAAATGCAATATATCTTTATTGCTTAAAAGCTGCTTCAAAGAATCTAAAATGGGAACGTAAACAAATGTATCTTCAATAGCAATCTGTTCATACTGCTTAGTTCTTTTATTGAGACGACTATCATATCGGATGCCTAACTTGATTCTTGTGGTTCAACAAGTCCAATTGATTCACAATACTTTGTCCGCTTATATTCTGAATTCAAATTTTCAAAGGGCTTTTCAAGCATAGCAAAATGTGTTTGAATCTCCTTATAAGCCTCGGATTCTATAGGCAGCTTATGTTTTAAGAAAGCAGCTGTAACGGCTGCCGATGCACTTTTTACTACATCACCTACAATCGCACTGGTTGTTTCTACTACATCATTTACAACTTTTCCAGAGTTTGCACTATTTGCTGAAAATTTTGAAATTACATTTACACACTGCCTGTTCAAGGTATCTACAGATAAAATGTCATCTTCATATACATCCTGATCTTCAACAATCTCATCATTATTAATATTGTATTCTTGAAGACTTTCAAGACTTTCTTCAGGAAAGTCACTCACTTTATCATTTTCATTAGACTGCTCTTTATTATCTGGAAAATCGGTTTTAAGGTGAGTCTGCAAATGTCCCCGAAATCCTCGAAAAGTATGAAATGTTCTCGCACAAGCTCCCTGCCCACAGGTCAATACTTCTTTACCATCTTCAATAACTCCATGTTTCAATCTCAAATGTTGAACCAATTTGGGTATTGCAAACTGTTTGTGGCATTTGAAGCAAATCATGGTGCTAACAATTTCGATCTAATTTCACGTACTCTTGGTGTTTCCCGGGACACTCCGATATCGATTTCAAAAATGGCAGTCTGGACAAAAGTCCAGAACTGCCGCAGAGACAAGCAGTACTGCAGGCCAAAGACAAAGTGGGTCTTGAAGAGTAAATCTACTGCTGCTTCGACCGTGCGTGCCGAACATGGAATGGCCTTGTGATCCACAATGATCATGTAGTTGGTGATTCGGGCCTTGGAATTGCCAATTGCCAGAAGGAACGGTTGACTCTTGGTCTCTTTTGTGTTGTCGAGGAATGCTTGAATACTCCCTCCTGTCTGTGTTGAAAACAAATTATTTGTATAGAATGTAACTAGCACTCAACGCATTTCAATACTCAACGCATTTCAATGAACAACATATTTCGATCAACATTTTTAAAAGACAGCCTTACATGTAGTACTGGGGGAAATTGTGTTTTTACAAAAGGGTTATTGGACAATAATGTAGGACATAAAACCAAATCAAATTTACATCAAAGAAAAGAATTGGAATTGGTCCATCAAATGATATAACATCAAAATATCAGATGATATTTTTGTAATGAAATACAATTTTTCTTACCCTGTAGAGGGGTAAAAATGCAAGTACTTTCAAAGCTTGTTTTATGTATATGATTAAAAAGGGTCTTTCTAATGTGGTCAAGACATTTCAACTTCCACAAAAGGAGTACGAAAAATAAAGATACTGCAATTTCTGCACTATTATTAACTTGCAGCAAATTTGTGGCATGAAATATTCCTTTTCATTTATTGATTCTCCATGTAGGGCTGTGAAAATCAAAGGCAACATGCCTGATATATCACACAAGTTGTTACTATGTTTTCATACACAACATGTTCCTAGTATTTGTTTGCAAATCTTGATGTCTACTGTTCTAGTTTATTTTACTCCGACCAATTTCAAGGCGGGTGAAGTTTTTGAATAGGCCTAAATTTCTCGAGCACCTTCTCTGTCCAAATCAGTCTAAGCCTCTTCATGTAAGAGATCATAAACCAATATAATTGTTCTCTTTGAACACACATCACGATGCTTTCTGAAACTTTTTTTTTAATGCAGCAAGAATGTGTTTTATGTGACAGGGTATTACCGGTACTTAATATTTACAGTTCTCTTTCGTAATGAAAAGCTAAATACCTTCTGAAATTGAATAACCCTCGAGAGAGCTGAAGAAATGGACACTTTTGCTGACGCAGCTTTGGACTTCCCTTGGCTTGCAGGAGGCAATAGGCACAAGAGGAGGAGGATAGCAGATGTGCTGGAATTCCATCCTGTGCATTACAAAATGAAAATGGTTATTATTAAACAGGCTTACATGTTGATCAAGGTGAAAAATAGAAGTTAAATGTACCAAAATAATTACAAACTGACCTGCTAAAATTTGAATCAAAATAGCCTGTAACAAGAAACTATTATAAGAAATAAGTATATAGTCGAGGACTTATCAATATTATAGCCAAAGCATGCAAGTGGCTGTTAATGCAGTTTAGGGGTACTAAACCAAAAATCCAATTGATGCCAGCTTGGCACCCTTGGAGAAATTTTACTGACACTTATAGCAACGCCTTCTTCTTCTTTCTTATGAGAATTTATACAAAGGGGGATGGGAAAAAAGAAATCAATAGGAAAATAATAAACGGGATATTTATGCATGGGAGAAGGCAACATTCATGGCAAAGCACCTAACCTAGATTGTTCTCTGTTGACACATATATAACAAACTCTTTAGTAGCATAAGTTCATGTTTTTTTTTTTTACAATTTTTTTCTTGTTCTACTGAATTTAACATGCTTCTACCCAATTTGACATCCTTTTCATGATTAAATCACAAAAATTGCATCAATACTGGAATCAAATGTTGCAATTAACAATTTATCAAATATGTCCCCTATGGGCCACCATATTTTTCAAAGTTAACTAATGAAGAAAAACAAAAATATCATGATTTTCTGAATTCTAAAGCATTTATCTTCAAATAAAGACAGAGTAAACACAAGCAAGCTGCTAATATGTAAATGCAGGGTCCTGTGGGGTCGATTCAAGTTCATATTATAAGATAATAAGCCATGCATATCATATCTGAGGAAGAAAAATAACAAAGTGAACATATAAACATGATGCTTTGTTTCAAAACAGAAGCTCATTCTATTTCAAAAGTAATGATTGGCAATGTGATAATCCTTATAAAGATTCCACAATGGGCCATGCAACAAACTTTTTTCTTCATAATTATATAAATTTCTTCTTCATAATTATATAATTAATATAATAAAAGAATTATGGAGAGCATGTTCCAACTACAAATAACTTTGCCAAGTGGGCATGTAATGTAATTTTTTGTAATTCTCATTGCAACAAGAGTCCACATTATTTGAGATGCCCAATAACCCTACTGTATCCCAGCCTTCCAGATAAATATAATTTGTTGGAGGAGTTGACAAAAAAAAGGGGGGGGGGGGGGAATTGTTTTAATTGGGATGGGTCATTTTTTGTGATTTCAGCATACTTGTCCCTTAATATACATTTTTAATGAGACTGCAAGCTCTTTGGTGGAATTCTCAATGGTGGTTTAAGACCAAGGTCTAAACTTGGTTCAAAACCATGGATTGGATTAGATTTGCATGTATTCTAAAACTTGTCCAATGAACATGCTTGTGTGAAGCACATATATGCTCAAATTTAAACTAACCTATCAATGGTTTATCCATGGTCTCAAATAAACCACCATCAAGAATTCCACCCTTTATGACATCGGAGGGTGCATTCAAGGGAATGTGCAAAAATACCTTCTTTATTTTGATCAGAACTGTCATAAGATGACAGAAGCTCCATCACTGTCAAGTTTCCTTTCTGCTTCAGAAGTTGTCTTGCAAGTGTAACAACCTTGGGCTTCAACTCGGGCCATTTGGTCAGGAAACGCGAGTGATTTTCAGGAAAAAGTTTCCGAAAATCTACCTCAATCTGCAAGAATACATGTAAAAGGAAAACGGGGAAAAGAGAGAAAAAATAAACTATGCATAATTTTACAGTACAGATACCCCAGTTAGACTAAATCAGCAATATAATAAGGTACCGTCAAAGCTCAGACCCCCATATATACACACCCCAGATCCAGGAAAAGGGGATTCTTCAAATATTTATCTGAATAGCAACCACTAAGAAGTACTTTTGAAGGTCTCTCTACACAAAATCCATACATGAATGAAACTTGCTGGACCTTTGAAATAGATTAGATTTGCTAGATATCACTCATGTTGATGCTCACTGTCCAAAGGTACATGACAACCAGTAATGGTGATTGTTCACCAACAGACAGTCACATGCGGTAAATACAGATACAGATTGAAGGATAAAACTGGCAGAATCTTCGGACTGATATTTTCAAAATCTCAAACATATATAATAAAACAGAGAAATATGAATTTGATGCCTCAGTGCCAAGTAATAATTCTGATGCTTTAATTCCCATACACATAATTTTGTTGCCTTAGGCCTGAGAGGCTAAATCAAGAATTAGGAGTAAATTTTTTTGTAACACTTACCAAACCTGGAACAGTTTCAAAAGGAAACTGTTCCAAAATATCCGATGCGGAGCGTCCGTCCCTGACCATATGCTGTCTAACAGGAAAAGTGGATTTCATCTTTTCAACAACCAGGGTAGAATCACGTTCTAATGTTGGACAGTGTCGTAACCAGTTGAGGTCTTCATCATAGGTGCAGCCTGGAGCAGATTCTTGGTCACCTTCTCGGACCTTCCCAGGACCACCATCTCTGCTTGATGGCTTGGGTAATGGGTTGGATGTCTTCTCCTCTGTTGTGCGGTTAACATTTTTTATTCTAGCAGCCAGGAATCCCGTGTTACTTCTTGCATCAAAATAAGCTTCCTAAAGTGAAAGAACGAGATGAATCTTTGACCGCGTGGTTGAAAATGTATGTATAAGCTTTTTGTTGATAATATTAACCTTGAAATGATGCACAAAATGATGTGATGAGAAATTGTAGTTTTCAAAGAAATTTTAGCAAAGTAGCATTAGTGTCATATAATGCAAGCATCTTGACTTTGATACAAGGAAGCAGCCATCACTCTGCCCCACTTCAAGAAAAAAAGAGTTTTGAGTGGTTGTGAAGGAGAGTAGAATGGTATCATACATTTCTTATTGGATATTGTGCCAAAGATGGTGGAGTGTGACCTACACAAGATAAAATTTAAAAAAAAAAAATTCTTCTCAGAATATAATTTAGAGAGATTTTGAGGGTATTTTTATCTTATCAGAGTATCATAAGTTTTCTTTTGATTAATGGAATGCAATACCTTCTTATCAGAGAGGACCATGCAGGGCCCATATTCAATTAAATACTTCAGTCAGAAAAATAAATATTTTTTCTTAGATTTTTGCTCGGATAAAATACTTTGCAGATTTTGGTATTCAATTCATAAATTTGGCTAAGTATTTTACTTTAAATTTAAGACACCTCTAGAGGAGACTTAAGCCAAAGCATTTACAAATTTAACTGGTAGATGAAGGCTTACATGTATGTGCGCAGTCACTCTCAGCTGCGGAGAATTATGAAGTAGCGCATTTTTGGTGCAATGTGTTGATTGCGCATCATTTGGTCACAAAATCGTGATGTCACAATGCCTCTCAATAAGTATTTTACTTAAATTTTGACTTACTAAAGTAAAATGCTAAGAACTGAATTGAATACAAAATAAGTAAATACCTTAGCCAAAATACTTAGTAAAAAAACTTACTTAGTCAAAGTATTTATTTGAATATGGGCCCAGATTATAATACTTACATGACCTGTGCTAGTAAACGGATCCTTGAGTCTTGGAAACAGATTCACTATCCCCATGGCATATTTGGTTTTCATAGCTGCTTTTGGATGTTTGCTGTGAAATAAGAAAGCACATCTCCTGTATGAGAATTACAGTCATATGGACTCATGACTGGCTCTATTAAAACAGAACTTAGTATGTTGATAACAAGTAGCATACCCCTAGTGGTCTCGTCTGCATCATATAATTTGCTATAGTTTAGTATTTTTTTATTACTTTAAAATCTCAAAATATCACATGGTTAGTTCATAATACATTTATAAAGTGAGGCCTCATGACGATGAGGCCGCTAACATCTACGGCATTAATCTATTTTAACGTAATGACCCAAAAATGTCACTCACAAGACTGGTAATACCTGATAACCATCATGTGCAAATCACATTTAAAACTAGATGAATCTTCGACCACGCACGGTCAAAATTTAAGCCTCTGCCATCATGCGATCAGAAAGATATTATTGCTTGTTCCATGCCATTGGAAATCCGAAACATTTTGGGTGATTTTACAAATTTTGGGCACTATGAACTTTGACCCCGTGAACCCAAAATCTTCTTCCTCCCATGCTAATACATAATTGAGCTAGGTTTGAAAGAAATTAGTTCAATTTGTCTGAAGTTATAGCAATATCGAGCTTTTTTCGGGTAATTTTTTACAATTTTTGTTTGGCCCTGTGACCTTTGCCCTTTGACCCCCTAAACCCCAAATCTAATCAGTTCATCCTCACATGTATATAAATACTTGTGTCAAGTTTGGTAAAAATCCGTCCAGTAGTTCTGAAGTTATCGTGGTAACAAGTTTCCGACGGACGGACGCACGGACGGACACACGGACGCACGGACGGAAGGACGGACGGACAACCCCGAAAACATAATGCCTCCGGCACCACCTGACGGTGGCGGAGGCATAAAAAATGAATATTTTGAAAAATGATTTTGAAGAGACAACAAATTCCTTTAAAGTTGACCATGTTACCTCAGTTTCTTTTCACATAATTGGTAGTACCTGATAATTATTATGTGCATTTACACAATCATAAAAGAAAATTTGCTGGCACTTACCCATAGTGTTCTTGCATGTGGGCTACCAAAAGGTTAATCATCTGCCGTCTAGTTTTATCTTGAAGTGCTCCAGTCAATTCATACTCTCGGAGAATGGCATCACCTCTGTGCCGCAAAATTTCTTGTACAAACTGCAAACAGGTAAATCATCCCATTAAGTCATAAATAAACATATTGAGTTTATAATGCACTTTCAGGCACTTTAATTCATACTGACCTTTCTAAGGGCACGAAATTTTATGAATGACTATGAATTTATATAGGTACATTATGATATTAAAATTGATATATGGCCAATAATCATAAATTCTAAATAATAATATATTTATTTATAGAGCTTGAAATAGTTTAAATATTGTTAAATACACACTCCCACAAACACCCCAAACACACATATGCACACACGCACATACACACACACGAGGGGACACATGAGGCTACAGGTAAATTTGTGTTTATTGTAATGCGAGTTCCTTCTACTTAATATAGACATGCAAGCCCAATGCCATGGGGAGACCGTCTAAAGTGCCCTGAACAGTGTTCATTACTTTCATATCCACAAACAATACAGCAGGAAACTATTCTATGTTTGGGATCATCATGAACACTACAATAAAGGTTATGTAACAATCGATGCATCTCATCTTCAACTTTTTAATTTTGATATTAGTCCTTTTCCTTGATACCCTCAGAGGTCTATATGGAACCAGATCATGAGATGTATTATTCGATGATTATTTACCTCATTTCTCTTTCCCATTTCTAAAACATTTCATAAAATTTGGCAATTCAATTTAAACCTCTAGACATAATATCATTTGTTTGAAATCATACCACCCATTGGAAGAAAATGAAACTGTAAAAGTTTATGGAAAACTTATGACAGATGACGAAGCAAAAAAGATGGCCAATATCTTACAGGAGTCGTCAGCTTAGATGTACCAAAAAAGAAATCAAATTAGTTGCCTAATGTTAACCTATACCATTACAAAAACCTTACTACAGGAAATATTAATTTACAATGTTAGTTCTAACTACACTAGATGTATTTTTTTTCTCCCAATATCATTTTCAATTTTAAATAATATGAAATCCGTATAGGTGATGAGTCCCTTATATTATGTTGATTATGATAGCTGAGATTGAAATGAAGCAAACAATTTTTTCTTAACCTTACCTCACAAGAGTTGTCAGTGATTGCACCTGATTCACTGAGGGCATTTAATCGTGGCCTCTTTCTACTGGAGCAAAAACTTGAATCAGATTCTGAGCTACTCAGGGAAGAGGAGCTGGTATCCACCTTGATAGTGTCTGCACTTGTGATGCTATGTACATCTGAACCTTTAATAAAGAAAAAAAGATATAAAGCCATGAGCACTGTTAAAAAACAATGAATACTGGCATCTTAAACTTTGGTAGAATTGAATACAGTTGGGCCTCCTTTATCCCCACACTTGGGATCAGCACTAACATGCATAAGGGAATCCTATATTCAAAACATGCAGTTGCCGAGTTTGAATGAATGCATGTTTCTGATCATGAAAAATTGAATTGAATGTGTAATAACAATGTTGGGAATAATGTATATAAGTAACCCAAATAGTTTGCGATATTACGAGTATGCTTGAAATCTTTGTTGGTTCCGCTAATTATTTGAGTAAAATAGGCAAATTCTCAAGTGATCTGGATAAAGGAGACTGGATAAGGGAGGTCCAACTGCATATAAATTTCTATTAGTCTAAAACCATCAGAAACCAGCTAAGTTATATTGGTCTGACACATTTGTTAATTTTATAATACTTGAGCATTTTTTAATGGACAATTTGTTAATTGATGCATTCATTCATGTCTAAGTGAATTATAATACTAGCATTTAGAAATGTTCAATTACTTTTCCATTGGACTGTTCCCAATGAAACCAATAGGTCTGTCCAATATAATCCAACAGAATTCTTTCATGATGGTTTTCTATAAGTATAAGACTAACAGAAAGAAATTGTTGGATTCCTATTATTGGATCAGCAAAAATTTTCTGATGGATTTCTAATGGACCAACAGAAGTATGTGTTGGATTTCTATTGGAGCAATATAACCTTTCTGCTGGTTTCTATGGGTCCTTTATTTCCCTTTCCCTATTGAAACCATTAAACTTATTGGTTTCTATGGGTCCAATAGCCCTCACCTCGTGCTATCACACAAAGCAAACAGAATCAAAATCAGATGAGAAATGGCATAGGAGTGGCCTTTTGTAGGATTTTGAAGCAAAAGGTCAAAGATCATACACAGACACGCACAGAAACACACAAGTATGGCGCCCGTTTCACAGTCCCCTCCTCAAATTTGTTCGGTGGGGTCACAATTTAAATTAAAGACATTTTTTTTTTAAATGCAAGTTTGCATTGTTAAAAAATTCAATTTGTAAGAATCTGTAATTTTTATAATCTTTAGACTTCGAATTTAGATCATTGACCGCCCACAAATCACGGCTCTTGTGGCAAGGTTACGTCATCAAAAAAGGGTAGGTTTTTTTTTCCTCCACCAAGTTTTGAGACCTGTGCCTGTAATTTGAACTGCACATTCATTTATTGCTTATGAAAAGCAAAATGTTAATTCCCTAGACTCTATACAGCATACAAGCCTACACTGTACCTGCTACCAGACGAACGCTGACTCATTTTAACATGCATGCACATACAATGATCAGTGGCGGATCCAGCAGGGGGCGCACCCGGCATGTGCCCCCTCTATATTTTGAGAATTACCTCGTGAACATACACATTACTAAGGTTAAATTGTGATCTGCGCCCCCTCTTTATTTTTAATATGCTCTTTGCACCCCTCTAACTCTATTTTAAAATCCTGAATCCGCTACTGATGATATCACATTTAGCAGGGATTTGCAATTTTGTATTATAATGCACTTTATCCAAAACTTACCAGACCATTCTTCATCTTCTTTTAGCACCATGAGGCCGACTGTGGGATTGCTGGTCACCACATCTCCTAGTACGTCATCGTCTATACCAAACCCTTCTTGTTCATCCACAAGTACGAGATCTTCCCCATCCCTTATGTGGAATTTTCTTCTGACTGTAGGAGAGATTAAATAAATGAGAATAAATATCACAGTGCACTTTTCAGTTTCTTACAGATTGATGGCTCAGTCATAATAAACGAATGCTGCAAAAACTGCTGCTACAAGCCCAACTGTGCTATAGTATACAAATAACGCACGTCCCAGAGTGCAATAGCGGTGAATGCAGTACGCGCGAGGTTTCTTTATATTGGTGCCGCTCTGTGCAACAAGCCGCTTGCGGCGAGTTGACAGTGCGAACCATCTGAAGAAACCGAGCGAACACTGCATTTACGTTTCGCACAACAGGGTCAAGTGCGTTATTTGTTTTATAAAATAGCGACACAAACAGCAACAAACAAAAGTTTAGATCTTAAGTATACGAGAGTTCGATCTAGATCTAGAGTTATGTTGGTTCTAGAAATAAAATGAGGGTCTAAGACCTTGCAGGCTTACCAAAAAGTCTACAGGATTCATTGTTTGATTAAAAATAAAATGCATAGGGTGTCTAGAGACGAGTCTACATCAGACAGCTGAAATTCCTGGCTTCATTATAAAATCCAAAAGTCAAAACGGGTCTAAATCCAAGGCAAAAGTAAAACAAAAATTTGCTTTCTAATAATACCCCGCTCTAGCTAGAGCTAACGCGTACGCTGCGCTGGGGATCATGGTGGATCTTGGAGCGTACAATATTAGCTACGCGTAGCCTATAGCCTACAATGCACTCGAGGGAGCGTACTAGTACTACGCGTACGCGCGCGCACTGGATCCCCATGGTCACGCGTACGCACCGTGCAATATAACTTTTTACTGCGCTTTTTCTGCACTCATTTCTGCAAAATCGTGCTTGCATCAAAAATTTGTCAATGCCATGTGACGCGTATTGACCAATCACGATGCTTAAAATACTAGGCTAGATCTAGAGCCATTTTATAATACACCCTAAAACTGTTAAATGGGACATCAAGCTCAACCGGGGGTGGAGTTTGGACTGTTGTGTGCGCTACAAATAGTCTAGATCTAGATCTAGATCTAGAGATTGAATTTCCATGTTTATTATTTTTGCATTTTTTTTATTACATGAATGGGGTAGATCTAGTCTAGATCTAACGTTAGATCTAGATCTAGATATCTAGGCCTAATGTCAATGCAGATCTAACGTTAGAACTCTAGATCTAACTGTTAGGCCTAGAAATCTAGAGTCTAGATCTAGTCTAGACTTCTAGATCTAGATCTAGATCTAGCCTAGACCTGATATTTTTGCAAAAACCCAGGATTAGGCCCTAGACTAGGTCTAGATCTACTGATTTTTCCTTTACATTTTGAAACAAATATGTATTAAATAACAATATATAGACCTAGATCTATCATGAATGTTTGCCCTTTGGAGTATTTATCAATGATAATTTTTCAGAAATCCATAAAATATTAAATGGCATCATGCTGACCGGATACCCAACCCGGCCGGACAGCCAAGGCATAGTAGGCCTAGACCTCTAGGCCTGGGCTACCCAACGACAGGCGCGGCTAGCGCCAGCTGACGAACACGTAATACTATAGGCTAGATCTATAAAAGTTTATAACAAACAAGAACCATGTACACTTACTGAGTTCAAAGAATCCTACTGTGTCTTCTGGATCTATAGGCAGGTATTTTCTAATACTTCGATCCGCTGAACAGACCCTGACGCTTAATGGCATGGTTGCATGCACTTCGATCACTTCACATCTAGAATCTAGGCCTAATTTGAAGAATTACTACTCCAGAATCAAGACTTCAAGTCAGTGCCAGTGAAATTCTCTAGCCACATGCTCTCGTCTAGCTGTGCGCGCGCAGCTGCAGAGGCGCATATCGGATCATATGACAACTTTCGTCCAATGATTTTCGTCGAATTCTCTAGCTTATGCGCATGTGCGATTTTATAACACCAAATATGACACCATCAGCCTGTAATTGAATATTTTCACACCGTTGGTGTTATTTTTCGCCAATCGGACATGAAATGAACACCAAGGGTGTTGATATTTTTCTATTCCATGCTGGTGTTGAATATTTAACACCCTGGTTTTTGCAGTGTAGATTCATTACATCATAGGATGCATTCCCACACTGCTAAGTTCAGTGATGGAAGAAAGTCATCCACTCCCAGTCTATTACCCTGTAAGTTTCTCTCTCTCTCTCTAGATTCATAAGTCTAGATCATAGGATTCATTCCCACATTGCTAAGTTCAGTGATGGAAGAGAGTCATCCGCTCCCTGTCTTTTACCGTGTAAGTTTCTCTCTCTTTCTCTAGATTCATAAGATCGTAGGATGCATTCCCACACTGCTATGTTCAGTGATGGAAGAAAGTCATCCACTCTCTGTCTGTTACCCTGTAAGTTTCTCTCTCTCTCTCTAGATTCATTAGATCATAGGATGCATTCCCACACTGCTAAGTTCAGTGATGGAAGAAATTCATCCGCTCCCTGTCTGTTACCCTGTAAGTTTCTCTCTCTCTCTCTAGATTCATAAGATCATAGGATGCATTCCCACACTGCTAAGTTCAGTGATGGAAGAAATTCATCCGCTCCCTGTCTGTTACCCTGTAATTTTCTCTCTCTCTCTCTCTCTAGATTCATAAGATCATAGGATGCATTCCCACACTGCTAAGTTCAGTGATGGAAGAAAGTCATCCACTCCCTGTCTGTTACCCTGTAAGTTTCTCTCTCTCTCTCTCTCTCTAGATTCATAAGATCATAGGATGCATTCCCACACTGCTAAGTTCAGTGATGGAAGAAAGTCATCCGCTTCCTGTCTGTTACCCTGTAAGTTTCTCTCTCTCTCTCTAGATTCATAAGATCATAGGATGCATTCCCACACTGCTAAGTTCAGTGATGGAAGAAATTCATCCGCTCCCTGTCTGTTACCCTGTAAGTTTCTCTCTCTCTCTCTCTAGATTCATAAGATCATAGGATGCATTCCCACACTGCTAAGTTCAGTGATGGAAGAAAGTCATCCGCTCCCTGTCCGTTACCCTGTAAGTTTCTCTCGCTCTCTCATGAATCATAAGATCATAGGATGCATTCCCACACTGCTATGTTCAGTGATGGAAGAGAGTCATCCGCTCCCTGTATGTTACCCTGTAAGTTCATATCTCCAGTTAGACATGCCTTGCAAAAACAGCTCACATATCTTGCTTTGATTTTGTCACCTTCACCACGGAATTCAGTCACACTATAGATGGACCTTGTTCCCTTTACTGTTTTGATTTCACATCTCTCTCGATTTCGCTTTACATCATCTTCATCAACAAGGAAGAAGCTTTTTCTCTTGTGAGTGCAGCTGTCACCATCTTTCACATCTTTCTCCAGGGTTTCTGAGCAGAAGTCAAATAGTTCCTTTGCAGTACTTATGACTGCCCTGCCACTCTTGACAGCCATGGATGCTTTTGATTTCACAACTGCAGACTCTCCGTCTGATGGTCCCTTGCCGTGTCTAGAGCCAAAGTAGTTGTGGTTTGTTGGGAAATTGTAATCCAAAGATGAATTTGCAATGTCAGCTAGAGGGCCGCGTGACTTGTACTGTACACCACATCCGTCTGAAAACCGGACCATCTTTTCTATTGTCAAATTCCTCTTCTCGTGCAAGTGAGCTGTCAGCATATCCATATATGTATGAACAGCATTGAAGTCGTGGGTGTTGTCAGATGATATAAATACAACTGCTTCTTTGACTTCTTCATTACAGCCTTCTGTCTCACAGTGGTAGTAGTTCACGATAGGATGAATCGTAACTTGATTACGTGTCCAATAAGCTGACTGTGCTTCATTTTGAGTGATACACGTATAATTCTCAGCGAAATCCCAAACGTTCAATATCCATTTATTTGGTAGATTTGAACGAATGGTCCTGAACTGTGCTGCTTGCCAATGCCAGTTGAAAAGATGGAGAGAGTACAGTGTAGCTCTCTAACTCTTTCTCCAACTCTTGCAGAAGGTCTCCAACATTCTTTTCTAGGGTGACTAATGCCTTCCTTTTGACTGTCTTTGTCTTCAATTTCTTTTCCACTGTAGACCACTTCTTCCAAATGATTGGCTTCGACCTTTCTTGATCACCAAATGATTGGCAATGTTTCCTGAAATGCTAGATTCCACAGCTTTCGCAGTTCCGCTTTATACAAGAGAGTTGATGAAATTTTTCATCTTCAGCTTTGTCACATAGTGTCATATTTACAACAGCTTTTGCATCTTTCAGTTTCAGTTCATTGTGACCATTTGTTTGAAGGCGCTGATCTAACGCCACTACTTTAAGTCTGATGTTCTCACACTGCTCGCACAAGCAGCCATAATACTTCCCATGGCTCTGAGGCTTTACATGATTAGGGCGGAGATTGCAAAACGCAGATCTTCCAATCTTCACATGTGGGTACACCTTGAATTGGCCATATACTTCATCGATAGATCTTCCGAGCACCATTCGAGGCTTCCCTGTCTTCTTTGATACTAATTTCTTGCACGGTACAGAATGGGCCACTTGTTCATAGAACTTCTTGACCAAGTCAACAGTTACTTGCGACACTTGCTTTCTTCCTGTCTTTTTCTTTGAGCCTTTGGTTATGGCTTTCCTATTTATACCCAATTGCCTGCTTGCATAACGTTGCAGGCGAGCCTTCTTCAGGTCTTCTAAAGCTGCAGTCATGAATTTCTTTCTTTCTTTTATTTTTGCTTCTTTGGCGACAATGTTTGTGAGTTCCAATTCCAAAGACCGCCGCTTTCTGTCATTGATCACACCAGCATTCTTTAGAGCAACTTGTTTGCGTGGGGTTGTCTTAGAAATCATGTCCACCACAACTTCTGCGTAATGTGTACTATCTGATGGCAAAAGCTGCTTCACTCGAGATAGACGTTTCCTTCTTGCTGCTGAAGAAGTGGGGAAGTGGGGAAGATCAAGATATTGCAAGGAAGCTTGCTGTTCCATCTCTCTCTGTATTTGCATTTCCATTTTTTTTCGTTCTCTTTCAAGACGTTCCTATCGCTCTCTCTCTTTCTTTGCAGCGTAGGCTTCTCTCCTTCTTCTTTTCTCTTCTTCATATTGCTCTGCTGTGCGATTTTGCCTATATTTTCTCTTCCTTTCAGTTTCTTTTTTCCTCATGTCTAATTCTTTTAGATGATCGTTCCTTGTCTTTCTTCTATTTCCATACTTAATCTTCCTTTTTTCTTCTTTTTTTCTCTGTGCTTCTTTCTTTTCATTCTTCCTCTGTCTGTAGCGCCTCTGTCGAATTTTAGCTTGCTGATTTGAATGCTCTTTCTCCGTATCTCTCATCTCCAACCTATAGAGTTGACTGCGTTTCATTTCATATTCTCGAAGTAGCTCATATTTGTGTGGGTTCTTTTCTTTCAGCTTTTGGCGCCGACTCTTCTTCACCAATTCAGGTGGTGCTTGGGGTGGAGTTTGGAATTTTGGAGTTTGGCCCTCTTGTTCTGGAATTGGAGGAGGTGTAGTTTTAGGTCTGCTTCTATTTTTCTGCGCAACACGCTTGCTGGCACGTAGTTTTATACGTAGATTTGGCAGGGGTGGGGCCATAATGTTTACTTGATTTTGCAGGCCCACCACTATCAGGAACTATCTGTAAATGGAAAAGAGGAAAAATAAGAAAATGCATAGCTTTGAATTTTCACATTTTGACTTAAGGCACTTGAAAGGGAATTTTAAGCACTTAAAGTTGATGGTGTTTCTCTAGTTAAAACTTTTTTCTCAGGCTTGGAAAGCTAAAAATTTCCCCCAAGGTTAATTTTAAAATTTTAAGTTTGAAATTATTTTTAAATAGGACTCAAATATTAAGTAGGCCAAAAATATATTTGATGCAAGCCTACATGTACAATGATTTTCAAATACATGTAGATCCATAATTATTTTCAGGCTAAAGATTGGTTAAATAAATTTTGTTTGAAATACAAACATAATGAAAGTCATCTCAATGATATAATTTGAAAACAATTTGATAAAAAGACGGGTTTTGGTGAAAGCATTTGGCTTAAGTTCATGTCACATGAATTAACATTATTATTTCATGTAGTATTGGTTTTCCTTTTACAAATACAAACACTATATCTTTTCAAGTCATTAGTTAATAAATTAATACATGTACCGTACCAATAGTGCGCTACGATGTACATGAATTCTGACCGTCAGCCTCTTTCTTTTCAAGAATTCAGGCCCTGGACTAGCTTTTTCCCAGGTGTGGGGTAGGGGGGGGGGGGGGAGTTTAACACAGCTCTCATGAGCTGAGCTGACAAGCAAAAAAGGTAAGTTTTAAGTTTTGTAGGCGAGCTGGCAGTAAATAATGAAAAAAATAAGTTTCATTGCCAAACTGATTGTCAACTCATGCAAAAAATAAAAAAGGGGGTTTATACTTTTACGGCACCAGGGATTAAATCACTCCGGCTCTATGTCCAACATTCGTATGGGACTAGGCTTAAAATGAGCTCTAAAATCTCTTCAAAGTTACTTAGATTTTCTACATTTTTTAAGTGACCCATAGAAACCCTTTACAAATTTATTCTGACCAAAATTTGGGGTACAAACATGAAAATAATATGTTTCAGATATTTTATTTACCTCTCGAGGTAAAGAGCACCATCTCTTTGCCGGCACAAAATTACCAACAATGATACTCAAGGAAGGTAACTCAAAATACATAAAATACATTATTTTCATTTTTTAACCCTAAATTTTTAGCCTAGTCCCAAGACTCCCAACGATATTTGACAAAGAACTGGAATGGTTTGGTCCCTGAACTGAAGTGTGGCAGTTCCACATTTATGTACTTTACATGAATCACTATGTATGGGACTAATTTAAAAAAAAAAAACACATGCCACACAACCAACATCAAAACTCACTCAAAAGTGCGACATTTCAATAGAAGACCAATATATTTTTATAACATATTCATTAGAATTCAAACAGGAATGATAATAATAATAATAAACCCTGCAGTGGTGGAGGAAATTCGATTTTGCATCGAGGTTAATGTACGCAATCGGGTGACCGTGTGGCACAAAAAAAATTGGAGTCCACAAAAACATTGTTGCGTTGG